AGAGCTGGGACTCTTTAGTCTGGAGAAGAGAAGGCTGAGGGGAGACCTTATTAATGCCTACAAGTATCTCAAGGGAGGGTTGAAGGAGGAGGGAGCCAGACTCTTTTCAGTGGTTCCCAGTGAGAGGACGAGGGGCAACGGGCACAAGTTGGAACATAAGAGGTTCCACTCAAATATGAGGAGAAACTTCTTCACAGTGAGGGTGGCAGAGCCCTGGAACAGGCTGCCCAGGGAGGTTGTGGAGTCCCCTTCTCTGGAGATCTTCAAGACCTGGATGCTCCTGAGTAACATGCTCTGACAAGCTCTAGGCAATCCTGCTTCAGCAGGGGAGTTGGACTAGATGATCTCTATGGTCCCTTCCAACTCTAAAAATTCAGTGAAATTACATTTTCCGTGTTTTTTTTTAACTCAGAAATACAGCTCTTCATAGAGAGAGAGAGAAACAAACGCATGATGTGGTACCAGAGTGACTGTAGCTCTTCTGAGGAAGAGCTGGGTGCCTGTCGCTGATGTTCTTCTCGTTCTCTCTTTCCTCCATTAGGTCCATAAAATCTACCGAGGGGGGGGTGGAAGCTTTCAGAAAGCCCAGGACGAGTGGAACAGCGGGATGTGGAGGAATCCCCCCAGCAGGGAGGCCCAGTACAGCAATTTTTCCGGGAACAGCCTGCCAGAGTACCCCACCGTGCCCAACTACCCCCCGGGAAACCAATGGCCTTAAGCAGCGACGGCTGCAAACTGCCTGGATTCTCTTCTTTTTGGTCTTTATATTATTGTTATTTGAAAAGATCATTTGCATTCCCCCTCCCACTCCACCCCGAGCACCCCAGTCACCTTGGGGACTTTGGTTTTTTTTTTGCCTCCTCGTCACCGCGGAAGATCCGTGCTCTCAGCCCTCCCCGCCTCCGGAGCTCTGCACGGCCTGTTCAGGAAGCTTTTTGTTGGCACTGAGTTACCAGTATTTGCCTCGTCGCAGACTGAGGAACCAACCCTTTGCTGCCCTGGCTTGAGGGGAACCCTCTCGTGAGGAGGAGGAGACGTGACAAAGGCTGACTTCCCCACCACGGCCAACGCCGCCGCCATCGACCGCTCCTCCTCCTGCCTCCCTGCTCCCTTTCCATCGCGCGCCGAGTCCTCCCCGATGGTGACAAAGGCAGTCAGAGCAGGAGTAGCAGCTGGTGTTTACTCTCCTGGATGAATAATCTGGAATCTTTCACTCTTAAGGGAAATGTGACACCTAAATTATTTGGTACTAGCGATATCGAAGGTATTTGTAGAACCTACAGCCTCATTCGCTTGCTCTCTCTGGTGAAGAATCCTTTAGATAACGGCGCTTGCTGTGGGTGAATGTTGCTCAGATGTGAAGTCCACAACAGTCCTCATCCGTCTGGCTAACAATTATTGTTTTGCTAGAAGCCTTGCTTTACCTGCTGCCAAAAGTTTTTGCCAGGTCTGTGTGCTTCAAAAGTGCAGATTCATCTCATTGGGCTAACGATCTCTCGCTAACAGCCCGATTCAGAGCCTGTTGGGGAGCCGGGCTTTGGAGCTGGGTGATGTTTGCCCTGGTTCAGGTGGGCAGCACCACACCTCTGTGCCATTTCACTTCTGCTTCTGTGGCACCCGGGTTTTGTGCTGACCCAAGAGATGCTCCACGGGACACACTTGGTCCCGTTGGGATGCTGTTTTTTTCTGGGCTCCTGGCCAGTCTCCGGATGCAGGATGATTATTGATCTCAGTGCTGGGGCCCAGCAGGGTCTGGGAGTAATTCTGATATAAGGAATAGTTTTAATTCTGCCTCCTACTGATGTAGGTGAAATCCAAACATTATTCAGTGGGGTCTGGCAGACCAAGGAAAGCTTTTAGTGGTCGTCACTGATGTTGGCTGGACAGACCCCTCTGCCCCTGCGTAGGCAGCAGCACTTTCCTTCCAGGTACAAGCAGGAGAGAGAGGTTTTTGCCTTTCTCCAGGAGTCGACTAAAGAGAGGATAAAGCTGTTGGGAGGGATTGTTTTCCCTGAGGGTGAGCATCCCTCTCCTCCTTCATCTCCATTCTGTGCAGGTACCTCAGGACTCCTGTAGCCTGAGCCATCCATTTCCCCCGTGTCCTGCAGTGCCCCAGGCAGCAGAGGCTGCAGCTGCTTCTTCTCCCTCAACAACCTGCTGTGAAGTTTTATCAAACCCGTCAAAACTGGGAGGTCAGTTCCCACTGTTTTTTATAAGGAGTGAGTGTTCAAAGTCTTTGGCTCTGAAAGTTTTAGCCAACGATCCTGTGAAGGACAGAGTGCTCTGTTGCGGAGACTTGGGAGGTGTGGGGCACCCCATGGGTCTGACCCAGAGCCTGGGGGTGTTGGGCACCCCATGGGTCAGACCCAGAGCACCCTGTGGGTCAGACTCAGGGCCTGGGGGTGTTGGGCACCCCATGGGTCAGACCCAGAGCATGCCATGGGTCGGACCTAAAGCCTGGGGGTGTTGGGCACCCCATGGGTCAGACCCAGAGCCTGGGGGCGTTGGGCACCCTGTGGGTCAGATCCAGAGCACCCTGTGGGTCAGACCCAGAGCCTCGGGGTGTTGAGCACCCCATGGGTCAGACCCAGAGCCTGGGGGTGTTGGGCACCCCGTGGGTCAGACCCAGAGCACGCCATGGGTCAGACCCAGAGCCTGGGGGTGTTGGGCACCCTGTGGGTCAGACCCAGAGCCTGGGGGTGTTGGGCACTCCGTGGGTCAGACCCAGAGCCAGCCCAGTTCTCAGGCTGGCGGAGGGGATGTGGGAGATGCCACGGTGGAAGCGGAGTCACTCCAAATTCACACTAAGTAACTGGAAAACAAAACTGGCTCCTGGGCAGGGAGAGGGAGGCTGCCCTGGCCGCTGGGGATTGATTTGCAAGTGATCTTTTGAAAAGTCTCTACATGTGCCTTATCTAATGAAAGAATAGTTTCCGAAGGAGAGCTCCTCCTTCTGCCTCGCCCCTGCACGTCCCCCCCCCTTTGCTCTGTTCACTTTTCCAGCTCGTGCAGCGAACACGAAGCGCAGCGGAGCTCGGGGGCCGCACGACCCCTTTGTTCCGAGGGCCAAAGCGAAAGCAAACCCCGAAGCTGAGGGCAGAGCCTCCCTCAGTTTCTGTTTACAGGCAGCACTGACGCCCCGCTGCAGGACCAGCCCTTGGCTGGCTCTGGGATATTGAACGTGCTCCCAAAACGAGGGGTTTGGGTGTTTTTTTTCCTTACTTGCGAGTGTACAATGTGCTTGTGAGTCCGAGCGCTTGAAGCCTTCTCAACAGAACACGACCTGATGGCGTTGTCCAGCTTTTAGGTGCCTTTGTCTTGTGTCAAGTGTGATTTTTTTTAAGTGTTCTTTGTCACTTTGCCCTCAGAGAGTGAGAAAAGAATTGCCTGTCGATTAACTCCCTGGAAATACGATTGCACTAGGGGGGAGCTGGGGGGGTGTAAGGGGGCTGAGCGCAGGGTTGGCCATGCTTGGAAGCCAAAACCCCCCCTGTACCACGCTCCCACTGGCCCTGGCCTCCCCCATCCTCATCCTTTTGCCAAAATTTCCCCAAAGTGATTGGTGTCAGTCTTATTTTTGCCACGTCAGGTTGGAGATTTCGAAGGAACCAAGAGGAGCAGCTTTGCCGGGGACGCCGCGCTCTGCTTCTCTATTTCTTTCCCCCCCCCTCTTAAATATTCCGGGGGGGCTGTTTTGAAGCACCCACCTTGAGTCATGTTGAAAATACTTGATGCAAGAGGGGTGCTCGGGAGCCTGCCCACCACAGGGGGTTTGAGCTGGGCACCAGGATCACCCCCATGAGCAGTCACTGCCAGAGATCTCTGCAGAGCTGAAACCAGCCCTGCACGGGCCCCCCCATCTTCTCTCCCCCCCCCCCCCATCCTCTTCTGTGCCACAAACCGTAATTCCAGAAAGTTGACTCAACGCGCTGCCTCAACTACTGTGGCTTTTCTTTATTTTTTTGGACTCCTCTGTATGTTTTTAAATGTTTACATTAGATTTCTAAGACTTCTTAACACCATTAACCTGGACCCAGCTCCCAGTTTTGTTGGGCATCACGTGGGCATGTAGGTGTGCAATGTTCCTTGTCACTTGTGGAGCTCTGTTTTGTTTTTTTTTTTTTTGTTTATGTTTTTCTCCTGATCACAAGACAATAAATGCTCATCCTGTGCTTGATGAGAAGAACTGGCCGCGTTAGAGAAGTGTGTCTGTTCCTAGGTAACCGGGATTATCTGGCAGAGGGAAATGGCGAAATCTCTTTATTTTCCTCCAAAGTCTCCCACCACATGTTGTTTTTTCCCTTAAAAGAACAGCAGGTTTAGGGATTGGAGCCTGTCCTCTGCGCTGGGGACCGGTGGTTCTCTTGGAGAGAAGCATTTCCCAAAGATGCTGCCATTATTCCCAGTTTCTAACAAAGGGAGGGGAGGGCAGAGGTGTGGGTGGTGCCCAGCGTCGCATCTCCCCAGCGTATTATCTGGCAGAGGGAAATGGCGAAATCTCTTTATTTTCCTCCAAAGTCTCCCACCACATGTTGTTTTTTCCCTTAAAAGAACAGCAGGTTTAGGGATGGAGCCTGTCCTCTGCGCTGGGGACCGGTGGTTCTCTGGGAGAGAAGCATTTCCCAGAGATGCTGCCATTATTCCCAGTTTCTAACAAAGGGAGGGGAGGGCAGAGGTGTGGGTGGTGCCCAGCGTCGCATCAACCCAGCGCTGGGCTCCAGGTCTGTGTCCTGGGCTCCAGGTCTATCCTGGGCTCTCCGTAGTGGTGCAGAGACTCGTGCCAACTCCCCACAGCACTGTCTGCTCCCTCCTCCATTTAATTGCCCAGAAGGAGATCGTTACCCCTGGAGTAAACGGTGAAGGTGAGTTGAATCACTCTGCTTCGTGTGGAGCTGAATGTGTTGCCCCAAATCACCCTATTGTGGCTTCGTGCCCCCGTTCCGCTCCACAGCAGATATTTCATCCTAAAAGAGGTGTTTTCATCACACCTGCTCGATATGACACCTGCTGATCTCCATGTCCTCCTCATCCCAGGTGCCCCCTGCGCAGCCACCGGCATCTCCCTTCCCCCGGCAGCGGTTTCCTGCAGCTGCGGGGCCAGTGCTGTGCTGACACCAGGATGAAACGGCTTTTGCTCAAGTTCTTTACTCCAGGCCCTCAAAAGTCTGAGCGTGAGGCACAGCTTTAAGCTCCTGCTCCAGCTGCTACTTGGGCAGTCCCTGGCACTCACAAACCATGAGTGATTCACTCCCCAAAAGGCTCAGGGTCCCCAGTGTCAGCAACTCCAGGGGACTCTGGATGAGGGAGGGGAGCCCTAGGAGGAGGGGGAAGGGTTGGACCCTGCAAGAGGGGAGATGGAGCTGAGCTGTGGGGAAGAACTTGTTTGGTGTGAGGGTGGTGAGAGCCTGGCCCAGGTTGGCCAGAGAAGCTGTGGCTGCCCCATCCCTGGAGGGGTTCAAGGGCAGGTTGGAGGGGGCTTGGAGCAACCTGGTGTGGTGGGAGGTGTCCCTGCCCAGGGCAGGGGGTTGGAACTCGATGATCGTTAAGGTCCCTTCCAACCCAATCCAGTCTGTGACTCTGCTGGGACACTGTGAGGGGCCTGGCTTTTTCTTTTTTGTCTGGTTGTTGATGTTTCTGTCGCTCTGCAGTTTCCCAGCCCCTGACCGTGAATGTTTCACCACACGAAGGTTTTGTCCCCCTGCTCCTGAGCGGCTCCTTCTCCCCGTGCGTGATCCAGAGTGGTTCATTTTGTGTTGTCTGCTTGCAAACTGGCCCTAATTACCTCGTGCCCGTGGGAGGAGGGCAGGGTTGGTAGCTGGATGCTTTCCTGGCAGAAATTCCCTGCCTTTCCTCACTAACTGCCCGGTGCGGAGCCGGTTCTGTAGCATGAGCTGTACAGGTCTCTGCAGACCACGCCTGGCACGTCGCGTGTTCACCGCTGGAGATTTGCCTTGAAATAAAATCCAAACTCTTTGCTTTCCCCTCTCCGGCTCCAGAGGTTGGGTTGAATTCTCAAGCCAAGTGTCTGAACAACCCCCGTGTTCTCAAAGTGCTCAAAATTGCCTTTTTCTGCGGCGTGGGGTGGTGGGATGGGGCAAAAAAGGAAAGGGGAGGATGGAGCTCCCCTTGGGAATTCCCAGGGTAGAGGAGGAGGGAGGGAAGCTGCTGTTCAACACAGCCCCCCACCACAGCCCCAGAACCCCACTTCTCACCATGGGCCCCCCCTCTGCCCAGCTCCTGGCACCCAGGGGAAGGGTGAGGGGGGATGACACAAAGGCTGGGCTTGGGCAACGCACAGGTCTGTGCCCAAGCGCAGCAGAGGCTCAGCTGGGCACATCCCCTCTTAGGCCTTTCCTAGAACAGAGTCCTCCAAGGAGGACTCAGAGCATCTCCATCTGACCAGAGTCCAACATCCTGCTCCGTCAGGCTGCTCTTGCATGGTCCAGCCCCAAACCGAGCTGGATGCAGCCTCTCTGCACGGCCTGGGGCTCATCCCTGCACTTCACCCCCCCACACTGGGGGACAAACAGGTAAAAAAAGCCACAGACCAGGATAAGGAAGAACAGGGACAATGGAGAGGAAGGGAATAGATGCCCAAAAGTGTTTAGATTCTTGCCTTTTGGCAGAAGGACAGACTCTCCCATCCCTCCCATGCCCTGCTCTCCATCCCCCCACTCCACCCAGCTGTGAAGAGCTCCTCAAAAGGAGTCCTCAAAAAGGCTCTGTAATACCCCATCCCGATGACCAGGCTGGCTGCAGCACCACTGCAACCACCCCAAACAGCCTTTTTGCCCCAAAACACGTATTTCTGGGATGTACAAGCCTTATCCTACCACAGCTAAACAATGTGCAAGCAGGTATTTTGGGCAGCTCAGTCCCAGCCCTGCAGAAGCTGTCTTTGGGGGCAATTTCATTCTCTGGGGTGGCAGGACGTGGCCCCTCGCCCCCATCCTGGGCTGGGAGCAGGAGGAGAAGGGCCGTGTCACAGTTCGGGGATGGGATGGCAACATCCAGGCTTTGCATGCAGAGCAGCTCATTTTATTTTGCTAATTCTCCAAAATCATAGTGTTTTCTTCTAGAAGCAAACACCTCTCGGGCAAAAAGTACTTCAGAGAAATGCTGGGGGGGGGCGTTTCCCTGGAAGTGGGAGAGAATTGATTTAAGCAGCTGGAAATGTCGAAAATTTGGGGTGATGCTGGTGGCTGAAGACCTGAGTCTCCCCCAAACCCACACCACCTCATTTGCCCGTTGCCTGAAAGCATTTTTGGGGGTGACTCTGTCCCGTGAAGATGATGAGGGCAGTGGGAGGTACAGGGCTGCCTCCTCCCTCCGGTGTTACCCCAAAAGGCTCAGATGGGGACAGAAATGGCTCTCCCAGCTGTGCCCTCCTTTGCCGAGTGAGTGCAGGGAGAGAATTTTTATGCCTGAATGACTGATCAGAGCAATTCCAAAACTCTCAGCCTGGAGAAGAGAAGGCTCCGGGGAGACCTTGGAGCCCCTTCCAGTCCCTCAAGGGGCTCCAGAAAAGCTGGGGAGGGACTCTGGATGAGGGTGGGGAGCCCTAGGAGGAGGGGGAAGGGTTGGACCCTGCAAGAGGGGAGATGGAGCTGAGCTGTGGGGAAGAACTTGTTTGGTGTGAGGGTGGGGAGAGCCTGGCCCAGGTTGGCCAGAGAAGCTGTGGCTGCCCCATCCCTGGAGGGGTTCAAGGGCAGGTTGGAGGGGGCTTGGAGCAACCTGGTGTGGTGGGAGGTGTCCCTGCCCAGGGCAGGGGGTTGGAACTCGATGATCGTTAAGGTCCCTTCCAACCCAATCCAGTCTGTGACTCTGCTGGGACACTGTGAGGGGCCTGGCTTTTTCTTTTTTGTCTGGTTGTTGATGTTTCTGTCGCTCTGCAGTTTCCCAGCCCCTGACCGTGAATGTTTCACCACACGAAGGTTTTGTCCCCCTGCTCCTGAGCGGCTCCTTCTCCCCGTGCGTGATCCAGAGTGGTTCATTTTGTGTTGTCTGCTTGTGAATCGGCCCTAATTAACTCGTGCCCGTGGGAGGAGGGCAGGGTTGGTAGCTGGATGCTTTCCTGGCAGAAATTCCCTGCCTTTCCTCGCTGACTGCCCGGTGCGGAGCCGGTTCTGTAGCATGAGCTGTACAGGTCTCTGCAGACCACGCCTGGCACGTCGCGTGTTCACCGCTGGAGATTTGCCTTGAAATAAAATCCAAACTCTTTGCTTTCCCCTCTCCGGCTCCAGAGGTTGGGTTGAATTCTCAAGCCAAGTGTCTGAACAACCCCCGTGTTCTCAAAGTGCTCAAAATTGCCTTTTTCTGCCGGCGCGGGGTGGTGGGATGGGGCAAAAAGGAAAGAGGAGGATGGAGCTCCCCTTGGAAATTCCCAGGGTAGAGGAGGAGGGAGGGAAGCTGCTGTTCAACACAGCCCCCCACCACAGCCCCAGAACCCCACTTCTCACCATGGGCCCCCCCTCTGCCCAGCTCCTGGCACCCAGGGGAAGGGTGAGGGGGGATGACACAAAGGCTGGGCTTGGGCAACGCACAGGTCTGTGCCCAAGCGCAGCAGAGGCTCAGCTGGGCACATCCCCTCTTAGGCCTTTCCTAGAACAGAGTCCTCCAAGGAGGACTCAGAGCATCTCCATCTGACCAGAGTCCAACATCCTGCTCCGTCAGGCTGCTCTTGCATGGTCCAGCCCCAAACCGAGCTGGATGCAGCCTCTCTGCACGGCCTGGGGCTCATCCCTGCACTTCACCCCCCCACACTGGGGGACAAACAGGTAAAAAAAGCCACAGACCAGGATAAGGAAGAACAGGGACAATGGAGAGGAAGGGAATAGATGCCCAAAAGTGTTTAGATTCTTGCCTTTTGGCAGAAGGACAGACTCTCCCATCCCTCCCATGCCCTGCTCTCCATCCCCCCACTCCACCCAGCTGTGAAGAGCTCCTCAAAAGGAGTCCTCAAAAAGGCTCTGTAATACCCCATCCCGATGACCAGGCTGGCTGCAGCACCACTGCAACCACCCCAAACAGCCTTTTTGCCCCAAAACACGTATTTCTGGGATGTACAAGCCTTATCCTACCACAGCTAAACAATGTGCAAGCAGGTATTTTGGGCAGCTCAGTCCCAGCCCTGCAGAAGCTGTCTTTGGGGGCAATTTCATTCTCTGGGGTGGCAGGACGTGGCCCCTCGCCCCCATCCTGGGCTGGGAGCAGGAGGAGAAGGGCCGTGTCACAGTTCGGGGATGGGATGGCAACATCCAGGCTTTGCATGCAGAGCAGCTCATTTTATTTTGCTAATTCTCCAA